TTTTATTTTTGAATTTTATTTTTAACTTTATTTTGCTAAATTTTAGATCTTATGGCAAAGAGATTGTTATTTTATTAAAACTGCTTTATTTACTAGGTATATTAAAAGTAGGAAAGAAACACAAGAAAAAGCACAAAAAGCCAAAGCAGAAGAAATAGATTCTAACTGTCCAAATGGTCATGTTCCTTTACCTGACTGTGAACGCAAAGAAACATTGCGAATATTGAAAAAAAGTATGTAATTGAAAATTGATTTTATTTTATATAGAATCATTGTTTACACTAATGTGTAAAGTTTAGCTTGCAATAATATATTATTATTACAGATTATCAAGATTATGTAAATGAGTTAAATATGATGCCTATAAAAGTAGATACACTTAGGGCACAGCAACGAAAAATAGAAATAGAGAAACAACTGAATAAACTAGAAGAAGGCATGAAGGTTTTTTCAAGACCTAAAGTTTATGTAAAAATGAATACTTAAATTATCATTTAGTTGTATCAGGTTGTATTAAATATATATTATTTTATTTACAATATTCGTTATGTAATTTGTCTTGTATTAGTGTTTATAGGACTTTTATCAACACTATGAAGAAAAGCTATAGGATCAAAATGAAGTTGACCTAAATTATAGTATTTTTCTTCAGAATCATACCATTTCTTTAAATCAAAATTTTTGAAAAATATTCTTATTTCTCTCTCTGCAGATTCTACAGAATCTAAAACAATTTTTTATAAGGTATACAAATAACATAAATAGGTTTTTTAAAATAAAAAATATACCAGAGCCATGTGCTGCATTTCTTGTATCTGATAGACCAAACATTCCTCGAATTGTATCAGGGGCAGTATATTGTGCTTGGTATACTTTTGTAGGACCGATTAATTTTCTCCATTTAGCAATAGCATCGTAATCTGTTAAAATATGAATATCTGATGGCCCACTGCACATAAACGTCAAAAGACGATTATAAAAAAATTTTTCTTTATGTTCTTCATAAAATAATTCTGCTTCCTTCTGTGTAATTATTGTCCTGCGTGATCTGACAATTTTCAAATTATTGTCAATGATTAAGTCTCGAATTTTCTGAAAATTACAATAATACCTAAATATTACCATAATTTTATTCAGGAATAAAAGCCAATTGTTCTGTCAATCCTGTTTAGCTGCCATTTAAAATTATGCATATGCATGTCCTATGTAATTCTACGAAATTAGGTTATATCCTCTTACCTGAAGCACAAAAGGCGATTTAACAATATGTGGCTTAATTATTGCCAAAGTTAACTGGAGATACTTTTGTGATTGCATTTTAACATATTTTAATTACCTACCCTTTTTGTAAAAGTTGAGAATTCTCATAATGTAATTAAAATAACTTTACTTTTCATTTAGCGACATTGTGTATTGTTAATTCGCTATATCAAAGAAAGAACCAAAATATAATCTACTGTATAATCTTTTAATAAGTAATCATATAATTCAATTTGCGGATTGTACTTTTCAAAGTGGTATTACTAAATGTTCTTGGAATTATATTTAACCACGAATCAGTATATTGCGTACAAATCAAAACAGGTATAAACGTAAGATACTTTACTATATAATACACGAATAATATGTAATGTATATTATATTAATATGTAGTATATTTTCATAATTAATCATTTATTTTATATTGGATAAAATTAATATATCAGCTCTTTTAATCTTTATTTAAAGTATAAATAGATAAATAAAAATGAGGCGTGTACGACGTCGCTACAAGACAAAAATAGTTTGAACAGGAAGCACATCGTATTTTGGACAGTACGTTACACAGAGACGATACGTTAATTCTCGTGAAAATTAATTGCATTAGGCGCACACGTGTAGCGCATCGTCAGCTAGCGTCTTCGCACCATGGTAACGAAGTCGAAGTGACAGAGGCTCTCTAATATTACATGAATATATGAGTTTGATTTTAAAATCTCTATTCTTCTTGAATTCTTTCTCTTTGAAAACTATTTATTTAATTTAATTTATTTAAGTGTACAAAAAATGTTAAATAGTATCGTAATTAAGAGGATACGTGGTTACAGAAACGATGGAATAAAAAGTGCTCCAAAATTATTTTTGTGTATATTTTTGGTCAAAATATTCTTAAAATATTTCTAAAATGTTTTTAAATAAATACCTTATCAAAAAATTTTACAGAATTTGAGGGTAATACTTATGTTA